CTGATTGGTTCAGAGGTATGAGATTTGAATAGCTGAATGCTTTGTTTGAAAAGTGGAAAGGATTTGGTAGTATGTTTCTAATTGTTCATATATTTGTTATATATATGAAATGTTGTTTTCCATAAAAGATTATGGTGATTTTCACCCTGCAATAACATAAATAGGGTATCTCACTAGACCTATCGGTCTAACCCTCGTTTTGTGATTTTAGTTATATATTGCAGGAGGTGCGGACGGTAAGGGAAAAGGGGAAATGTAATATTTTCCTATATGCATTTTTATATGAAGATCTGTTTTGATGTATAGTTATGATTGAATAGTACAAGAAATGTATTTGAATTTTTGGACCTGACACTTTTGATCTTTGGAGCCAAGCTCAAACCAATCAGGCACCACCCTTGTAGTTTACCATTTAAAAATTTACTGACCATAATAGATGACCCAACTCATATCTATATTTTAGGATTTCAAAATTATCGTTGTTTTTTCATACATTATTGACTGTAATTATCTAATAAGAAGTGTATGCATCTTAAGTGTCACCGTATTGTTCATTCGTGGTAAAGTAAAAAAAATTAGATTCGTGAAAGGTGCAACCGTTTTATATGATGCCACCGTACCCAAAAATTATTGGGTCCATCCCTGAAACTACATTAGACCCACAAAGTTTCTACTTTAAATTTAAGGAAATTAACCGAAATATCTAAACTTTTTAAGAAAAAGTACTTTTTAGCCATTTTTGGAACCAAATTCCCGTTTTAGTACAGTTTACCTAGTCTTACGCATCTGTATAAAACCTATTTTCAGATTAAAAATAAAGAAAAAAAATCATTTACGCAAAATCAAATATTTTATGCAAGTGTAGATCCTTATGCAAATCTGAGTAAATGTTTTTTTAATTTGAAAATCGAATTTACGTAAACATTTTAAGTATAGAAAAATAAAAAATGTTTGGTTGTTAATTGGTTATTTATTTTTCATTACGATCAATGTAAGTTTATATTTAATTTAATTAATAGACAGATAATTAAATTACGATCCTTATCTTACATAAATAAGAAAAACAATACATTTTAAACCCAACTTAAAATATAAATTTATTTTTTTGGATTAAAAGTATAGACGGATTTCCAAAAATATATCGAATAAAATTGCATAAAAATTTAAAATATTCAAAATTATAATTAAATTTTAAATTCATTAATAGTTATAAATCATTTGTATAAGGGTCATTGTTGTAATTTTGGAATGAAATGTTTAAATCCGTCGTGTCTTCAATTCCATTACAATCTCACAACTAATGGTATAAAAAACAATGGTCTAATCGTATGACCTTTACCTTTTAGGATATCGGGGATTTAATTTATACTATCTTATAAAACAAATTTATCAAAAGTCTTAAAAATAATATACATTTATGTACAAAGTACTAAAATCAACTCATAATGCATTAGGTACTACTACTTTATGCATTCAATCTTAAAATCTCTTCATCTACAATTAAAATAGCATATAGTACAAGTTACTAATGCACATTATTATATTTTCTTTTCATTTTGACACCTTTCATTCATGCTTTCACCCTCTTATATCTCTATGTCTTCTCCCTATCCCGCAAGATGAGATTCAAATTTAAATTCACCATGAATTATTAAAAGTTCTCCCATTCAATTGTTCTCGATCTCTTGATTCTTTGCTCTTGGTGTAAATCGAATACATTTGTGGAGTCGTTTAAATATGTTGAATTTTAAACTGTCATACAATTTTTTTCATCGATAAACTGTAATTGGAACCATAACTCTTATTGTTCAAATTGTATTAATAGGTAAAGACCAAGTGTAACTTATATCATCGTTAAATCTTCTCTAATAAAACCAGTGAAACTTCAAAATCATCAAAATCCACGGCTACCACCGCATTGCATGGGTACACAACTAGTCATCATTAAAGGTGAGAAGGGTATGTGAGTTTATTCATTGCATTTGTTGTACATAAATATTATGTATTTCAAAAAAGAACTTTTTGTTTACGGGACCAAATAAATCTAAAGTTGTACTTAGAAGTTGAGTTGTTACAAAAGCAAGCATCGTTTTTAAAGTGAGCTGACACGTTTCTAATATTGACCAAACAAACAGACAGCTCCATCGTAAAGTACGAGCATCCTTTGTGGCTAAGACGTAGAAGCCGACAAAAACGTAAGTATCGCATTTATTTCATCCTTAAATTATATGCTCGATATACATATATCTATATTATATCACAGAATATATGGGTTTTATCTTTTAAAGTTGTTAATATTTCAAGAATATATGTGTTAAAATATTACTAGAAGGGTACTCGTGTAATGCAGCGACATACATCTTGATTTTTATATTTTGTTTTATTTTTAATCTCAGTTGATGTCATAATACGGTC